GTTACCACTCCATGGTTCCAGTTGTGTGTCAGTGAAACATGTGCTGTGGTAAACACTTCCATCCATCTGCTGTTCATAAACAGCCCTGCTGCCGACCGACTGCTGGACTGGACGTCCCACGTCACAGGTCTGCTGCTGGTTAGTGGACACCACGGGCGGGACGGATCCGGATCCACCACGGAGGGAGGTGCACGGGCCGTAAGGAGGAGCGACGCACCTCGGGTGGCGATGATGACGTTCAGTGTGTGTTTATAAATATTTGGTCGAATTAAACGAAAAACAACACTGAAAAGTTGGCCGCGCAGTGGGAGAGCGGTTAGTGCTTGTGCCTCACAGTGAAAGTGAGGCACAGTAACACTGGTAGGAATCACATGCCTTTTTACCCTCTACAATCATAAATCATATTTGAGTATTTCACCTGTTCACTCTAATTGAAGGTAGGTGTGAATGCTGGTTTGTCTCCTCAGGGTGTGACTGCGCCCTCACCTGACGACTGCTGGGATTGACTCCAGACACCAACGTCATCCTAGAAAGACATAAGAGAAAGAAGATGAGTGTAAAAAAAAATCTTCTCTGTAACTTTTTTTTACGTGAAGACCCTGAAGGTAACTCGTCGTTAAACCATTGACCGCTCCAGGACTATGAATCGTAGCGTGAGTTCATTTGTGATTTCTTGTCCCCCCAGAGAGACAACGAGTCCATGAAAAGGTCCATGCACCACACTTGAGAACCAACTTAGCTAAAACATTCGACGTGAAGCGGCCATAAAGTACTTGTCTTATTTTAACATCAACAAGTTATGGCTAATTCTAGCCTAGAATTTCTATTTTGATTAATTTTTTTTTTGCCAATGCTAGCACCAAACTAGCATGCGATAGCCTTACATTTGTTTTCTATTTGAAGGCTAACGTTGTCTAACCTTCGTCTGTGTGTTTTTTTAGGATTTTTACGAATGTTTACGTGGACAAATTCAAATACTTTGAAAGTATTTTGTTAATATCTGACTTTGATAAAAGTTGTTTAAAGTATTTTTTTCTCAGAGAGCAACAGAAAGACTTTTTGGCTAATCCCGCCGCTAATTTAATCCATCATCAGACCGCTGCCTTTGGAAGGATTTCCTGGAGCGTTGTCTCGTCAGACGGGGGTTAAAGTTAGGGTTCCTGGGGTCGGGGGTGGTCTCGCTGTCACGAAACCCACACTTTTCGTCGACTGCCATGTGGCCACAGCGGGGGGACGGCGAGGTTTGGTGGTGGATTCCCTGGTCTGTATGACGTGGTTTGGCGGCGGCGAGGTGGAAAAGACCTCAGCTTCTTTCTTTTTCCATAGTTCTAACCCTCAGAATCCAGAGTTCTGGCCCTGAGTCCTGTCTGAACGAAAACACGACGGAACGTTGGACAGTGTCGCGAGTTATTCATAAACGGAGGAAGAGGCGAAACAGAATTCTGGCTTCTCCGCTGCTGAATCACCTGCTTGTTTTGGAAAATCCAATTGGAAGAAGAAAGAAAAAAAAAACTTTTTTTCTCTGTACTTCTTTGTATTTCTTCAACCTTCTCGAATTATCCCTCACACCAGATGTGTTTTCAGGACTGCTGTTCAGTAACGTTTCCTAACGAGGACGAGCGAAAAAACACAAGAAGAACAACCACGTTTCCTAACGAGGACGAGCGAAAAAATACTGAAGAAGAAGAACAACCAATGACAATGAGTGAATCAAAGACTGATGAGTGACAGAAATCAAATACAAACTCTTTATAATATTTAATAACTATATTGTTTGCTCTATTTTCTTTAAATTTATTGGACAAAACAAATATGATTAAGAAGAATTAACGTGATTTTTGAACGTCATTCAGGTCAGAAATCTGGTCCTGGAGGAGTCAGGATTCATACAGATTTGGTTCTCAATATAGGGGCACAACCCTGGGGAAGGCATGTGGAGTTTTAGTTCTATTTTTTTTTTATTGGGGCGGGGCGTTAGGGTTAGTGTTAGTGAGTCAACATCAGTCCAACCAAAGAAGGGCAGGGTTCACAGATGGTTAGGAAACACTTGTTGAGGGTTTTAAATATTTTTAAGGCCTGTTTAAAAAAACTGCAGTGAATTTTGGTTCAAATCCTCCAAAGGTCAATTTGATCATTTTTATTCTGTGTTTGAACTCTTTTTTAAAAAGAAAATATTTTAAGTGACATTTTTTTTTTAGTTCTTTTCCTCAATTCTATTTTATTTATTGATTGATTTAATCATTTCTTTAATCGTTTTTATTCATTTCTGCCTCTAACGTGTTTCAACTTCTTTGGTTTTTTTTCTCCCCCATTATGTAACTTTGTGACTGGACTTCATGTAAAGTCAACCGTTCTGGAGTGAAGGGCAGAGTCTCTGCTGTTGGCAGTTCACAGCAGAGAGAGAGAGGGGGGGGGGTGAAAAAGGTAGAGCAGCGGCGGCGGTCGATTGTCATGTGGCGTTAAAAGGCTGCCTGAATAAAGCGTCTGTTGTCACTGTGAGTCACAGCAGCGATGACTAACAGGCTAATTTTATTACAGTCAATTTAAGCTACGAGGGAGAAAATGCTTCTCTTTTGTGCACTATTAAAAATGTCACTTTTCTGCGTTGGGCACAGATTGAACGTTTTAGGGCTGTTACACACACACACACACACACACACTCTACACACACACTGGGCCACCACACCCCTCTGGCCTCCCTGCTCTGCCGTACAGTCAGACTTCCTGTCTCCCATCAATGTTCTCCTTTTTTTTGCGCGCGGCTCTGACGGAATCCCCTGCTCTGTTTCCTGTTGTGAAGCCCGTTGCCTGGTTGCAGACGTGGGCGGAGTTCACAGAGCGTTTTTACAGAAGGCCAGGAGGTTCATTTTTCTCTCTCTCTCTCACACACACACACACACACACACACACACACACAGCTGGCATCAGGCTGGAGGCACAACACACACACACACACACTGGTGTAGATAAATCATAGAAAGGAGTTAGTGTAACTACAGGGAAGTGTGTGTTGGTGTGGTTCACACACACACACACACACACACTGAGTGACGCCTGTAAACATCAGGAAGTTTTCTCTTCACTCCAGTCAGAACTAAAAATACTGTCGTTAAACCTAATGAAACTTTTTACGTTTCAGACACGCGTGTATGGGAGCGCTCGTTTTCATCACAGCCGCGAAGTTCATTCCTGGGCTCAGACATAAGCACAGACACAGGAACAACACCCTTGATCAGTGTAATGTCCTCCTTCGTCCTCTAGGGTCAAAAACGTTGATTTAGTCAAAGTTCAGTCCAACAAAACACATTAGCACAAAAAAAGAATCCCTAAAAAAAAACAAACATTTAGTTTATGGTCAGGACATGAAAGGGTTAAAATATATTTTTAAATAAATATATATGTATATGATGGAAGAAACTTTAAAAATTTAGCTGTACATTAGTCTACGTCGTCTTTATGTATAAATAGGGGATTATTATTATTATTGTTATTACTGGTAATCTAATCTGTGCTGCTCCGCGACCCTTAATTCAAACATGGTGCTGTGGAATCTTAGGAGAAGCCCTTCGTCAGACGCAGCACGGCTGCAGAAGCCACTCAGTAACCAGATAGTATAATGGCATAATGGTAGGATCCCACTAACATACAGGATGAGACAAAATGTAGCATAAAAAATATAGACTAATTTGACAAATGTTCCACGCTTCTCCAGTTTCTGCCGCGTAAGTGTTTTGTTTCCCACAAAACGGGAGAAAAGTCTTGTCGTTGGCGTCAAGTTCAGTCAGGTTTAGTCGGGGTCGTTTGTACAAAAGATGAAATAAAAAAATTAATAAAAAAATCTTTCTTTCCTAAAAAATAAATCTTCAATTCGACCATTCATACTGTCAACAAACATTACAGCGTCATCTGCAAACATCACGATCCACCAAGTCTGCCATCAACAGCTCGAAAGGAAAGACAAAGATAATTAGCAAAAATAGCTACAGGCTATTTACTCAAAAGAAAAACACCAACTTAGCAAAAGCAAAACACGTTATTAACATATTAGCCGACAGTTAAATTTACCAAAACAAAAAGACAAAAGATACCACGCAAATATTTCTAATTTATAGAACCTCAAATCAGAACAGCTCTGAAATTAGCAATGCTAATCACCACCGTCACACTGTCCTCGAACCGGTTCTGCACCATAACAGTGTACTTTACTGCCACCCCTGGTTTAACCACACACTCCAACAGACACAGTCTAGATCAGATGCAGGTCATTTGAGGTTCTTGGCTACGATTTTTCAGCTTTTGTTTGAAAGTGGCCACATGGTGTGAAAGTATTTACTTAATGAATATTTGTTTCCTGAAGTATCATTATGGTCCAGATGTTGGAACGGGTTTAACAGACGGACGAAAAGGTCAAATCTAAACAAACAGCATTAAAACAATTCTATCTATAAGAGCCACCTGTTACGTTAATAAAATAGGAATTATTTCCTCTTTTTCTGACATAGTTTATCGTTTCGCGGAGCTTTCTTTAAGTCAATAAAAACCATGGGGTTATTTACCCCTTTAATGCCCCAGTATGTACAGTACATAAAAGTCCTGGAGTAATCGCAGAGGTAAATTGCTTAATTTGAAACGTAAAAAGGTTAAAAACCTACAATAAAACAATAAGATCCCAACAAAGACAAGCTGTTCTCTGTTAGCGCCTCAGATCATTAGCCGCACGTTAAACTCACAGCTGCGTTGGGCAAAGGCAGCGCAGTGATCGGCCACAGATGCAGCGTTTAAATTCATGCTATGGTAGAAACTTTATTTTCTCGCATGGACTGCATCTACGGGAGGCTGATGATGATGAGGAGGAGGAGGAGGAGGAGGAGGAGGAGGAGGAGGAGGAGGAGATAGGGAAGAGCTCCTAAAGACCATCTTAAAGCCATCAGACCATCACATTCATCATGGTGTCGCCCCCCCCGACTCCTCCCCCCCTTCCTCCCAGTGCTTCCTCCCAGTGTGTGGAGAAATTGATAACACATTGTCCGTTTGCTGACGGCTGCTTGAAATTACACAGTAAAACGTTTGTATTTGAGGCCGATAATTACTACAGTACATGTTCGTTGGAGGAGTTTATACTGTAGTATCAGGGAAATTTAAAAAAATAAATCTTAAAATTACTTAATATCTCTTTGATGAGATGTAATTTTTTTTTTTTTTTTTTTACCAGATGTCAGGATAGATCTGAGCTAACCCTTAGCCTTCGTCTTGGCTCACTTTTCCGCTATTATTATTAGCTATTATGTTACAGCAATTTTTGTCTGGTATTTAATTAGCATTTTGCTAATTTGAGCTAAATTCTAACATTTTTGTACTGGCTAAGCTACAGTCATACAGTGTAACTAAAATTGAATGTGAATATCTGTTTATATTGACATTACATTTTACACTAGCTAAACTTTTAACCGTCTTCTCGGCTAAAATCCAGCAATTGTAGTTGGCTTTTAGCTAATGTTAAGCGCAATTCTAGCCATGTAGCGGTAGGTTAGGGTTAGCCTTCAACAATATTAATCTTTGAGCTACATTGTTGAACTTCTTCGCTCTATTTTTTAAGAAGAAGAAGAAGAAGAAAGTGAACTGCACACAACCAAATCAACAAAGCCAGCAGGGGGCAGCTTTAAGCGCCAGGGGAGCAGTGTGTGGGGACGGTGCCATCCTCAGAGCACCTCAGTGGTAACTTGGCAGCTGATGGACTCAAACCTGAACCCTCCCAGAGCTAAGTCCTCTTCCTTAACCACTAAGCCACCACTGGCCCTGAAGCTAACCTTCAGGTATTTCTACAACACAAAACCACACGTGTCTGTGTGTGTTTATAAATGAAAAGTTGATTTTTCTTTTTCTACTGCCCTGCACTTTTCAGATAATCCTCGTGTCTTACAGATGAAGTTGTCAAATCCCTTTATTGCCTTCAGAAATAAACAAGTCGTACTTGAAGTACAGACGACAGTAAACCCTGTGTATACAGTACATGAGATCAGAGGCAGATTTGTTTTGATGTGTTTTGTCAGTGAGTCACTGATGATGTGGCGTTGAGCTAAAAGTGGAAATCCTTTAACACACTTCCCTCATCTGACTTTTTTGTTATTTTTACATGAAAATATTTTCAGCCTGAGGCTGAGAACTGATGTGGCAAAACATTTGCAAACACAAAAGAATGTGCTTCACCAAGGATTTTCATTGAGTCGAACTGAGGCAGTTGAAAAAACGCACCTATTTAAAAACCGTATTCACCGATAAACAGGCCTCTACCACCATCTAGTGGCCTGTGGGGGAATAAAACAATTTTTGTGTCCAGCCAGGTAGTGGTGAACTTTGTTTTTATTGACTTTTAAATCATTTTTAACAATATAAATAAGAGACACTGTTAGAAACTGCAAATTCAGGGAATGAAAAAAGCACATTTACAAGAAAAATAACTTTATACAACAGCATTTACACAATAAATGGTTACATAAACGAAGGAAATGTGGAATTTTGTTTTTTGACTTTTGTCGATGTGAATTTAGTTCAATCAGCAGTAAAGTGAAATGAAACCACAGCACTGTTGGAATGATTGACCTGAGTTTAACTCAATTATGATTCAAGGAAAAAATAAATGAAATACAGACTTAGAAATGTAGCTAAACTACACTCTCTCTTTTCTTTCGACTCCATCTGTGCTTTAACTCCTTTACAAATCCCTGGAGTGAATGATAAAACTCATTCTCCCGCCTCTTGAACACAGCTGAATGTCAAACGTCCAACACTGACACCTAGTGAGCTGGTCCTACAGTCAATAAAGAGCTAAAAAAGAGACACTATACACAGCCGTCAGTGGGTGAAAAGCAGCAGGAGAAACAACCTAAACGTCAGGCTGATTTTTTTTTTGTGCTGCCCAAACATGAAAATACACAATCATGAGGCACAGAAATGAGCTGCTCCACTAAAGCAGCAGGGTCGGTGTCCACTAGAGGGCACAATGGAGGCCGGAATGATAGCTGAAAAATACATCGCTGTTATTTTGGAGTGCTGTTTTTTTTTTTATCCAGGAAGAAGCGGAGAAAAAAAACTCAGCAACAGTTGGAAACTAGTCCAGTATTTGTTCTGTAAACACGAACTGTGATGTAAACGTCAGACTAAGTGAATATGGAAACGCAAAACACCACAGGAACGAAGTAAATCAGTTTTAAAGAGTTTGAAAAATACTGTCAGACAGTGATGGTACTCAGAGAAAAAACACCCAGAAGGTCGCTTGAAATACTTCCCACTATCAAAACCACGTAGAGTTGCTGTTTTCTTCTACCTACAGCCCAGGACACAGCACTAAGATCGGAGATATCGCAGCCTAACCGAACACATCCTTAACCAAATACTGACAGAGCTCTGTTGACTCTCTGGCACAGAGGCATTAGTGAAGAGCGAGAGGTTAAACGGTGGTATCAACGGTGTTTCCTGGATTCGTAAAAAAAAAAAAAAACTTAAATACCGATCCTGTATTTGGTTTAAAAACACAAAAAAAAACAGCCTCGCAACAGGACATCAATACAAACTACCGAAAAAATACACGTTTAAAAAAAGATCGGAGTTTTTTTCCTGGTATAAAACGACACTGACGGTGAAACTGAAGTGTTTGTAATGCAGTAGAAAAAGAAGGCGGCGGAAGAAGACCCTCTGGACCAACCAGGGTCCACGTGACGTCCAGTGATTTTGTGGCAAACTTCATCCTTTTGTCATTCTCTAAATGTGCTCTGACTTTTCAAGTAATCCCATAATCAACCCCCCCACCTACCCCCCGTTCAATTTACCACAGGTTTCATTGAATTTCCATCACGGATTAAAAAAGTGCTGATTTTTTTTTTGTTTGTTTTTTGTTTTTTAAAAGCTCAAGAGAGGCAGGAATTGTACAAAACAAATCCATCCAGGTCAGACTCAGGAGGAGAGCTTGGAGTAGCTCGGTGGAGAGAATCTTCGCTTCAGGTATTTGATGATGTAGAGTGGAAGACAGCTGACCAGGGTGATGGAGGAAACCTTCCACAGGAACGGCCAGGTGGTGATGAAGGCCAGGTCTGGAGGAGGAGGAAGAGGAGAGACAGAGAAGCTGAGTCACTCTGGGTCAGGGACCTGTGACCTGATTTTTTGTTTGTTAGATGAAAACAACAACGACAACAACAACGTGACGATGCGTTGAACCCCGATGTGACGAGACCTGGTTTGAACATCCGTCGACTGTTCGGAGCCGAATCACATTTCATATTAAAATCACATTTTGTCTTACTGTAAATCGGTGTTTCTCAACCTTGGGGTCGGAACCCCAAATGGGGTCACCTTGAAAAAGTGTAAGGAAACAAATTCTTCTAATTCTTCTGTTCAGATCCTTCAGGACGAACATTAAAACCAGGTCTTGACCAACGGTCAAACATCAATATGAATGATAAAATGTGTCGAGACGGTGAACACAAATGGACCAATAATATTAATAATAATAATAATATTAATGATGATGATGATTAAACAAAGACGAGCAGGTGGCTCTGGATGACCAGGCTCCAAACCTACCAAGAGACGCTCCCACTGAAACCCGGCCTATACCTGAGGCCGACAGACGGAAGAAGCAAGAGAAGTGCAGCAGAGGGAAGAAAGGTTAGCTGAGAGGGACAGAGAGCAGAGAGGGGGGAGGAAGAGGGAGGAAGAGGAAGAGGAAGGAAGGAAGGAAGGGGGAGGGAGGGAGGGAGCAGCAAACAGCTGATGGACTACAGCACAAAGAGTTAGGAGCCAGAGCATCAGGTCAAAGGTCAGAAAAACCCAAGTCGAGGGCTGGGGGGAGGAAGAGGAAGGAAGGAAGGAAGGGGGAGGGAGGGAGGGAGGGAGCAGCAAACAGCTGATGGACTACAGCACAGAGTTAGGAGCCAGAGCATCAGGTCAAAGGTCAGAAAAACCCAAGTCGAGGGCTTTTTAATACTTAAAAAAGTTATTAATTTACTGACATTAGTTCAGGTTTTTACACAAAGAAAATGTGGTTGAATGGAAAACAGTACATTATATATATATTTAAGATACATTTTAAAAAAGTATTTTAATTTTATAGTTTATTTAAATTAATATTAGCAAATGTCACTGGTTAAAGTGAAAATAAATGTTTCTTTAAACAGTTCTTATTCTATTAAACACTACATTTTTACTGTAAAATATTAAAGTTAAATAATAATTTATAAATCTATCACATACTTTAACTGCTTTAATATAAATTAGTATATCTATCACATACTTTAACTGCTTTAATACAAATTAGTATGTTTAATTATAACAATAATGAAGACCCCAGGAACTCCAGAATTAATATTTACACTTTGAAGACTCTTGTTTAAGAGAGAAAAGTAAAGAGAAATAAAGTTGATTGGACTTAGTGTCATTTAAAATCACTTGTAATTAATACTTTTTGAAAACACACTAAAAACAAAAAACAACTCAGTACTTACCGAAGTATTCGTTGAGGAAGGCCAGAGAAGCCAGGTAGGAGCCGAGGCTGAGGAACTCTGCCAACACCATCAGCCAGTGCCAGGTACGGACGGTGAGCGCCACCATCAGGAGCTCGGTGAGAATGAGCGCAGTGAAGGAGATGGCGACCACGTGCACGAACTCAGATTCGAACAGCAACAGCGCGCCATACATGAGGATGCCACCTGGTGGCGCCAGAGGAGACACATGGAGGAAGTGACTTCCAGTCCTACCAAATGCCTCAGTTTGACAGGGAAGGGGTTTTTTTTTTATAGTTTTTTTTTTATATGACTATTATTGATAACTATGACGTCATTTTCCATCCGGTTTTATGACGATTTTAATTTTTTTTATATTTATTTTTCAACTGCATCAGTTTCTCAACCATTTCCTTGAAGTTGACTCTCAGTCTACAGTGGATTTTTGATCAAAATACCAATGGAAAGACAACAAGATATGAAAAAAAAAAATCTGTATAAAATTTACTATAAAACATATAAAGAAACTAATTCAAATAAATAAATTAAATAAAGGCATGTAAATGTAAATAAGAGCAGAAATATTCAAAGCAAAAACTAAAATGTCAATTAAAACAAGTCACAAAACTGGACTAAAAATGTGGTTTGAAGCTGGAAAAGAAGAATATGAACAGGAAGAAAATTGGGATAGAAATAGGAAAAAAGTAAGTATGAATAAGAATAAAAATCAAATAAGACTAAGAATTAGTCTAGAAATTAAAATTCCATAGAAATAGGTATGGAACTACCGATGAGGTAAGGTAAAGGGAACAGAAATCAGACTTGAAATTAATGAGAATAAGATTAGAAATTAGAAAAGGAACAGTAATAGTAAGGAATTGGTATAGAAATAATAAGATGTATTTTAAAATAAGATGCAAAGTAGGAATAAATAAGTCCATGATGTCAACGGAAGGGAACTATTCTCTAAAAACAAAAAAATATAAAGATGTGAAAAAACTCCACGAGTCTGACTTTAGAAAGCTCAGTTCTGATGTTCTAGGATCTGATGTTCTAGGGTCTGATGTTCTAGGGTCTGATGTTCTAGGGTCTGATGTTCTGGGGTCTGATGTTCTAGGGTCTGATGTTCTAGGGTCTGACGTTCTAGGGTCTGATGTTCTGGGGTCTGATGTTCTAGGGTCTGATGTTCTAGGGACAGACGTTCTAGGGTCTGACGTTCTAGGGACTGATGTTCTGAGGTCAGGTGGGTCAAAGAGTTCTGTAAAACTTCAGTATTTAAGAAGTGGGAGATAAAGAACCGATTAAGGAACACCATCCCATGTTCTCCAGTGAGTGAGTTCACTCATCACTCAGTCCCTGCTCCATCATCCAATCACAGCACCACACTGACTCAGCCTGACAGGCTCTAAGTCATCAGATAATGACTTTTACGGAGGCTCCCTCATGACACTGCATTCCACCGAGTCACAGGTCTGTAATAAACCAAGTCCGATTGGCGCCCAATATTTCCCCCCCCTCCCTCATGTCGTCTTCTTTACATTTCATTTCTGTTTTTTTTTTTTTCTTTCATTACACAGAGCTGCTCTTGGCCTTTAATTAAAAACCTGGAGCTGTCAGGAAGTCACGCTCCGGCAGGAACACAGATCTTTTCTCACACGCTGCATGGCTTGGCGATTACAGAAATATCGATTTACTGGACGGACAAAAGACCGCATGTGAGAGTGGATGCTGGTTGGAAACCTAAGATACTGAGAAAGGGACTATCTGAGAGTTCTGAGGGGCCCAGGGAGCGCGGCAGTACAGGCAGTGGAAATGATGAAATGGCAGCTGAAGGCCTGGGCTGACAGGCGTCAATGTCAAACTAGTCTGTTCTCTCAGAATACAGTCAGTGTTACAGTCAGTGTCAGTGTCAGCGTCAGTGTCAGTGTCAGCGTCAGTGTCAGTGTCAGCGTCAGTGTCAGTGTCAGCGTCAGTGTCAGTGTCAGTGTCAGCGTCAGTGTCAGTGTCAGTGTCAGCGTCAGTGTCAGTGTCAGCGTCAGTGTCAGTGTCAGCGTCAGTGTCAGTGTCAGTGTCAGTGTCAGCGTCAGTGTCAGTGTCAGTGTCAGTGTCAGCGTCAGTGTCAGTGTCAGTGTCAGTGTCAGTGTCAGTGTCAGCGTCAGTGTCAGTGTCAGCGTCAGTGTCAGTGTCAGTGTCAGCGTCAGTGTCAGTGTCAGTGTCAGCGTCAGTGTCAGTGTCAGTGTCAGCGTCAGTGTCAGTGTCAGTGTCAGTGTCAGCGTCAGTGTCAGTGTCAGTGTCAGTGTTTTAGTGAAATCAATGAAGTAAACCTTACCTTGATAGATACTGATCAGAACCCAGACGAGAAAAGTCTTAAAAGACAAGGAACGGCCCTGGAACGGAGAACATTTCCGATTAAGAAAATTTGACGTTCAAGGTTCCTGGAACTATTTTCAAGCACTTTTCCGGTCACTATTTCAGTGTTTGTTTCAATAAATAAAAGAACACAACGTTTGGTTAAATAAGTCTAAACAAAACAGTGAGACATCCGTCCAAAAGTCAGTCGGTTATTTTAACTACGATAAGTCTAAACAAAACAGAGAGACATCTGTCCAAAAGTCAGTCTAGTTGTTGGGTTATTTTTACTACAAAGTACACAAAAGAACTTTACCTTGGTGAGGTCTTTGTACAGTTCCGGGTACAGCAGCGCCATCTCTGGTTTCACGTCCTGGTCCAGGACCAGGGAGAACACTGGGAACATTGTGTAGATTGTCGAATATCTGCACCAAAATAAAATAAAAAAAGTTTAAGTTATATATTTGAAGAAAAAAAATGAATTTACTGAACCATTGGTGGTGGCTACAGTACGTACCCCACCATGAGGAACCCCTGGTACAAGGGCACGGAGGCAAAGAAGAAAATGGATGAGAAGACAGCCTGGAGGAGACACGTTGAACCTGGTCAGAACTTTTTTTTTTTTCATTTCATTATTTCATAAACCTGGATCCAAACACAGAGACAAAGCGCACCTGCATGGTGGAGATGATCATGCCTCGGTGCATGACGAACTGACCCAGAGCTGCGGAACGTTTGTAGCTGTTCCTGCCGTGAACCATCAGGAGGCGCCCGATGTGTTTGAACTGAGTGATGGAGAAATCTGCAGCCAGAGACGCCTGCTTTCCCTCCTGGGGTGGAGACACCAAGATCCCACGTCAATACAGAACACGTGTGGCGTTCAATGTCACTCTGGAATCATCTAAACCTGATTTTGTTTTTATTTACCTTTCCTTCTATTCCAATCCCACAGTGCGCAGCCTGGATCATGCTGACATCATTTCCTCCGTCACCTGACGGACCAACACATCAAAAGTTTTTACCAACAGTCACTTAAAAAGCAGTTAATTTGATTGGGCTTTGATGCCACCTAGTGGATAACCACAGGGTGTGAGAGGTGACCACTGACCTATGGCACAGGTCCTGTTGTCCGTGTGCTGCTGCAGCAGTGTGACGATCTGAGCCTTCTGGGTGGGGGAGCAGCGACAGCAGACCACGGCTGGACACTGACAGGCCAACTCCACAAACTCGTGTTCGTAATATCTGAGACAAACCTGGAACAACACGGGGAGAACGTCAAATGTATGAAATTTATACTTCAAGATGTGAATACATATTTGTGTTTGGTTGTAATTAATGACCATTAATTAATTTAACACACATGCTGGCAAAGGTTGGCTTGGGGGCCACTAATGGTACATGAATAGGTTTTTTATGGCCTATGGCTATTTCATAAAAAGTCGCTTTTTTTTATACATAAATAGAATGTAAATTTGTCTCACTATTTTTTTTTGTTAATAATGGATATATTTGAGAGCTTAATTTTAACCTCAACAGCAATAATAAACATGCTTGCTTTCATTAATATAAATATATATATTTAATATAAATATATTATCTAGTAGTTAATATTTAAGCCAAATTTTTGTTTCCTGTCATTTTGTGACATTTTTATCCCTACATTAGCCGACCGTATGCTACTTATTTCCTGTAGCATTTTGTCATTTCCTGATGTTTACAGCTGCAGGACGAGGCTTCTGTCTCTCAGCATCATCTGCTGCACAGACTGATGTCACCAAGTGTTGTGTTCTGATCTGTTCTGTTCTGTTCTGTTGTGGTGTTCTGATCTGTTCTGTAGCACCTCTAAGGAGTCTCCAGAGATGACCAGAGCGCAGTCGTGTTTCCTTCTGAAGGCGTTGAGCTCCAGATGAGCCTCTCCTCTGTTGGAGACCTGCTCAAGGGCCACACAATACAATTATCCACGTGGTATCGTAGCAGCGTGAGGACGAGTCAAAGCAGAGGAGAGCGTACCGGTTTGAAGACGTGGATGTCCTGGCTCCTGGAGACCAAATGGGAGCTTTTGGCGATGCACGTCGCCGTCTCCAGTTTGTCTCCCGTCAACATCCAAATCTAAGGAAAATCAGATCAGAGTTCAGCTTCAACGAAGACTTTTGGACAGAATGTCATCATTTTCCAGACATTTTTTCCGGACCTTGATGCCAGCGTTCCTGAGCAGCTCCAGTGTGGGTCGGACATCCGCCTGCAGCTGATCCTCCACACCGGTCAGACACAGAAGCTCCATCTCCCTCTCCAGACTCTCCACCACCGCTGCCACCTTCAGGCCGCGGTCGTGGATGCTGAGCTTTGCTTGGTTGTAGCGACTCTGAGGAGAAGTTTGTCACGAGTCAGAATCAAACATTGTTCAAGTCCCTGAAACTATTTTTTTTTTTTTTGCATGAGAAAATAAAGACGCAGATCAAACATTTTTATAATTTTATCATTCAGACATAAACACCTCAAAGTCCTGATACTGCTCCTCAGACAGTGACTTCTTGGCGACCACCAGCGTCCTCAGACCTTCTCTGGCCATGTTTCCACACTGAGGGTTAAAAAAAAATAAAAAGAGTCCCATGTTAGAACTAATTTTCAGAATTATTTTGTTGTTTTTTGTCTGTTTTTCTGTTCAAACCTTCAACCATTATTTTAGTTTTCTTTAAACATTTTACAAACATAAAAAACGCCTTTCCTTCACACACTTTCTGACACTTTTATGTCTATTATTTTTATTTTTTTTAGGGCTTATGTTTAGCTCACCTGACTAACACTTTTCACTTCATTACTGGCTCATTTTTACCACCGTATTTATGTATTTAAAATAACAAATCAGACGTGACAAAGGAGATGACAGACAGAACAGAAACACATTTTCATATTCTCGTATGAAGCTGTAAAACTAAATGCTAACTTATTATGGGGCAGATGATTGGTTCCACCAGAGCAGCGGCTGCTGCGTTAGTACATCATGTACAGTAACAGTTTTGTCAATAACAGCGTATTGTTACCGACAGCTAAAAAAAAAAAAAAAAAAGAAAGAAAGAAAAATCAATATGACAGAATAACATGGCCTGTGGAGAGGAGTCAGAGGACACGGTCGGACTAACGCACGCCGCTTTATTTTTTATATGAAACGCCAATGAGGCAAATCCATCCCACTGATTGGTTATTGACAGGCAGAGTCGTTGCGGCGCCGGGCGGCTCTGACAGCTGGATATTAGAGCCAACAGACATCATTAGCACCATTGTTGGAGAATATGACATTGTGTAATTACTTCAACTTTATCTAGGTCGCTAATTTAATCACTGCGCTGCCCCCGGTGGTAAAATGACTCAATAATGCCAATATAATTATGAACATACTGATGTGGGCTGTTGATCTGTGCATGAGTGTCCTGATTAAACGAGGTTAACCGATGGACAAAGGTTCTAATCCCACACTCATCCACAAACACGAGCGTTTACATGTCTAATTATTATCATCAGCATAAAAAGAACCGCTCCATTCCTGCGGTGGACGGACGATCTCAACGTGCTGCAAGAATTTGTCTGTTCTGTTTCTAATTTCATCTCATCTTCTTCTGTTCAGTCTTGATGTGTCTGTTAGTGAAAACCACACACTCTGAGTGGACCAACATGATGCTGCTGCTGCTGCTGCTGCAACATGTCAGAAACAATCATCTGGAAAAATGTATAGTGGCTTCATTTGGAGGTGTCGTCTGTTTGTGCTGTGGGTTCAAACACACACTTGGAGTTTATACTAAAATTGTCTTTTGGAGAAAAAAGGTTTTGAAAAGTGGTAAAAAATACTTGAGGTTCATTAGTGATTCCTTAGTTTCCAAGGCTGAAAAGTGGTAAAAAATACTTGAGGTTAGTGATTAGTGATTCCTTAGTTTCCAAGGTAAATGTTTCAATGCAGAAAGTCCAAATTAAACATTTATTTTTGGACAAATAAATGCAACTTATAATTATGATTTTTTTTTTTTTCTCTTCAATAATAAAGGAAGTAGAAAGTCTAGCAGGTGAAGTCTTTACCTCTTCTTCCAGCCAGTCGTTGTACTGAACGATGCTCGCCATGGCAACATCTGCACCCTTCATGTAAAAGGTAATGTCTCCTGTTGACTCCTCCTAAAATAAAAGAATCAGATTTCAGTAAAAATCACTGACTGACTCAACAGAACAAGTTATAGCTGTTCACTGTGACACCTGGTTTCTAACCATAGGGTTCAGGTCCAAGTCCAAGTCCATGTTGAGTCACCTGTGGTCTTCAAGTCAGAGTCACTGAGATAAAGTTTAGGTTTAGTCTTCAGGACTCTGAGTCCAGCTCAGAGAAGAAAAAAAAAACTAAAGTCAGGTTTAGTCCACTAGGTGTCACTGACAAAAAAAACTGAATGGACCGTTAGATCACTGACAGAAACACAGATTTCTAACCTATTTAAACGCATCAAACTTCAACCTTTAAGTCACGTCGTTACAGTAACGTTAAAGACCGACAAATGTTGGCTAAAAAGAAGAAAGAAACAACAAAGAGAGACCACACAGGAAGCAGCGTGATAACAAGGCCATGATACGGCGGTGAGGTCCACACCCTGACGATGATGCCCATCCTCTTGCTCTCGGAGGTGAAGGGAAAGATCTGCAGGATGTTGAAGGAGAGGATCTGTCCTGACGGAGTCCTCAGCTGCAGGGAGGTCAGGTCTCTGTTGACCAGGATCAGGCCGACGCTCTCCGTCCAGCGAACCAGAGCGACCTGAGGGACGACACGCAAACACAAAGGCTCCGTGTGACTGGAGAACAGAGGGTCTTAACTTTAGCTTCAAGAAAACAAAAGCTTCTTTGGGGACCCTCCCGTGTGGATCTCCTGAAAAAACGTATTAATACAGTGTAAGAAAAAAAAGAAGGTCAAGTGTTTCCTGTTCTGGAACTATACGACGCAGATCCAAAAACTTTCTGATATGATTTAAAATATTAAGAAAATGTGATTAAAAGAAACTTTTATATAAATATTTTTTTTTCAAAACACACATTTTCAATCCTAACATCCACACCAATAATATTTAATATGAACCTCTTTTTTAA